AGGCAGTTACCCAGGGTTTACAACTTTTTCGGGAAGGGAAACCCCCAAAAAAAAAATTAATTCATAGGTAGCTTTCTTCCAAACCCAAGGAAGAAACCCCAAGATCCCGACCCCCCTTACCGGGAGGCAGCTCCCCCTTCTTGGGCCTCCCCAAATCCCCCCGGGCGTTTCGCCTTTGGTAATGTGAAACCCTGTTCCGGGGAAACCCCGGGGTGTTCCTTCCCGGTTTTGTGGGGATGGGGGGTCAAGGGTCAAAGGATTCCGCCAGCCCCGATTAGGGGTCCCCCCCCCCCCCCCCCCCTTCCATGTCTGCCTCCCCCAACCTCCAACGAGCAGAACCGCATCGGGGAGATGCAGCACTCGTGGCTGGTGGCCGTGTGCGGCCGGCTGGGCCTGACGCGCTTCGTCCTGCCGCAGCCGATCGTCGCCCGCTTGCCCCGCCCAGGCCCCCCACCCACCACCTTCGGCTTCTCCACCTTCGATGACGCCGATGGCGCTGGGGCCGGTTCTGCCGCCGCCGCCGCCGCCGAGGCCAACGGTGCAACGGCCGCTCCCGGCTCGACCCTCCGGCGACGCTCGACGTCCTCGCGAGGGCTAGGTGCTTCGGGCGGTGGGGGAAGTAGCACCAATGGTGCCGATGACCAAGGGGCCGAGCAGGGGGACGGCGGTGGGGGCAGAGGGTGGGGGGCGGCGGTGAAGGCTTGGTGGGACGGAGGAGAGGCGGGCAAAGATGAGGAGGTGGGTGGTGGTGGTGGTGGTGGTGGTGGAGGTGGTGTATGGTTTGGTTTGGGCATGAACGTAATTTTCGGTGGTTGTTTTTTTCGCGGAGTTTGGTGTACACTCGAGAAGGTCGCTGGTTGTGTACCGAAACGTTTGTACGCGATCTCACGGCCGCGTTGTGCACCAAGCTGAAGATGTGGTGGATGGTGAGGAGGGCGATGGGGAGCGGAGTTTGATAAGAAGGACGTGGTGGTGGGAATGGCCTTGACATGGCATCGATAGAAACGAAGACAAAAGATATGGCTTTTCCAGCCCGTCGCTTGGCATGAGCACAATGTGTGGCGGTCGCGTTCATTCTTGGTGTTCCTTGTTCCCCGGTCGGCCGCCTACACCAACGGCCCGCGTAACGATGCGCTGAACATATGCTGTCCTGGTTGCTTCTTCCCCCTTTCGACAGGAGGGTATCATCGTAGGGCCTCCGTTGCGGCGCCCGCCCCCCGGGTGGGACGACCCCGCTGGCGTGGCACAGGGTAGGTGGGCGTGGGGCGCGGAGCCCCCCGGAGAGGTGCAGCTCAACCTTGCGCCGAGGTGAGGATATGGTGGTTTTTGGCTCGATAAGGCTGGCACTGGTGTTGTCGGCCTTGTGTTCGTGTTTCGTTGCTCTGGGCGCGAAGAAACGCGTGTTTCGTGCCGTATGTAGGCACTTTTTGTTTGTTGGTGGTGGTGTGGCCTGCGACCGCGGTGTATGGAAAGCCTTTGTCGGTAGCGAGCCGGTTGGACCAATGCACCATGGGAAGAGAAGAACGTTTGGTCGCAGCAAAGGGCTATAAGGCGTTTTCTGTATGAAGGAAGCAGCAGTTAGCCGCAGCAACTTGTAACGACGATGGCGGCGGCGTCAGAAACCAACACGACGTAAACGCAGAAAAAGAAAGACGATGAAAAAATAGCCATACTTGAAAAAAATAACCGTACATAAAAAATAGCCACTCCTTCGTGGTCTTGATGTTCTTGTAGTACGGCAGTGCGGTTGTATGATCCTCCTGGTTATATTTACATTTTTTTTGTTTTGTGGTACTGTATGTAATCCGTGTTTAAAACGCGGTCAGACGGCGGCACGGCGCGCGCGCGGTCCCTCTAGTGGCGGTGCTGCTTCTGGCGGCGTGGGCGACTGTTCTCGTGGCCGCGCTGTGCCTCGTAGTGCTCCCGTTCCTGCTGGGACGCCTGCTGTTCTCGCTCATCCACCTGCCCAGGCGCTGGACGCACGACACGGCCAGTTTCGCCGTGGGATTGACTCTACTCAAGGTGTGCCAGGTGGTTGCAATGCTGTCAGGGATGGGGGGGGGTGGTGCGTATTGTTATTCGTGTGCGTGCTTCCCTGGTGTGGGGACAAGGTGTGAGGGGGGGGGACAGGTGTGGGTTTTTTTGGTGAGATGTTGAAGCGCGGCGCAGAAAGACGCAGACGGAGTAGAGAGA